AGAAAATAGGGTGAGTCTCTCATATGATTGAGGAAATCCTCTTTCCACAATATCTGATAACTTTGGGCAGCTGTGGTCTTAAAAGAAAACATTTTTAGACTTTTTGGAGAAGTGTATTGTTATTATAGCTCTTACCTCCAATGTAACTGGTTTGGACATTAAAGGCGGATAGGTTGGTGGTGGTGCCGTTTGCACTTGTGGTATATCCTTGCCCACGCATCCTAATGTTTGTAATTGTTCTTGTGTCAGGGAGCCAGTTTTACCTCTACCTCTTCCCGCCATGTTCTTGTTTGTATTTGTTTAGTTCCTTATTTATTTTGCGATTTTTACAATTGTTAATACTTTTCAAAACAATATTTTATTTTACAAACCAAATCCATGCCGTTTTTATGTTACTTTGCAGATTGTGCAGATTTGTTTTTGTTTTCATAGTAAATGTCAGGGTGTACTGAATACAAGGTGGCATCACTAGCCCAGCTGATCATTGTTTACAATTTTTTATACAGGCTTAAACCGCACGTTTGTCAAACTCCATACAAAAATAATTTGACACCATGGTAAATGTCATTTTTTGTTGCCATATGAATAAAAGAAGAAAACAAAGAATAATAAGAAGTTGGACTATGACATTGTTTTACAACAATAACATTTTCTTCTCTTCACAGACGAGTTCTGTGTAAATTCAACACACTTGTGAGAATTCAATTCTCTCACAATACTTCAAAACTTTTTCGCGAAAATACCGGGATAATAGGACTTGAAAGACGTTTTTTCACAAACACATAACTATTTTTTAATTTTTTACACAATTTTATCGTATTTAACAATCCGAAATATTTTTATTTTTCACAAACTAAAAAAACATTTTTTAAATTTTTTTGACAATTAATTTTTGTGTGTTGAAATTAAAATTGATAAAACAAAGTTGTATATTATGGTATTGAAAATGAAAAAATTATTTTAAATAAACTTATTTTTTTGCAAAAAAAGAGATTTAAAGTCCGAAAAATATATTTATTAAATGTTTTCTGATCAGATGTGAGCAAAATAAATTAAAAAAATCTGCGAATGTAGAAATTTTAATGTTATTTATTTTTCCTAAAATTTTTATGTACGATTTTATGCAAGTATGTTTGTTTGGAAAGTGTGGTGAAAGTGGTTGGAGCTCCAATACTAATACAAAAATTCTACTAATACATACTTAGAGTTAGGTACCGAATGACAACTCCTTTACGTACCAACTGACAAGCCCCAATTTCTTTATATTCTTTGGAAGAAAACAAGAAAAGTTTTTAACGTTATTTTTAAAATAATAACAAGGGATTTAATGATCCTTTACGTGTGTGAAAATAACAAGATTTCAAATCATTTTCTGAGTAACACATTTAAAATCTTGTATTAATCTCACATTTTTTGTGGACGGAAATCGAAACTGAAAAGATTTTACGACCAATCGACATAATAGAATCATATTCTGAGAACGAAAACCAAATTCTTAAGCAAAAGTTCTATAATTAAAATTATTTTCTACTATTCAGCGATAGTACTATATATTGGTCAAACAGGAAAAAGATAGAATAACTTTCTGGGAAACTTAGCTTTCATACTAAAGTTCTATTTTCTATAAATGTTCTGTTATTCGAATTCAATTATTGGTCTTACTGAGACCTTAACAAATTAAAAAATAAAACAAACTTGATAACTCACATTTAATTACGATCGAATTAATTTAACAAAGAATAATAAGAAGTTGGACTATGACATTGTTTTACAACAATAACATTTTCTTCTCTTCACAGACGAGTTCTGTGTAAATTCAACACACTTGTGAGAATTCAATTCTCTCACAATACTTCAAAACTTTTTCGCGAAAATACCGGGATAATAGGACTTGAAAGACGTTTTTTCACAAACACATAACTATTTTTTAATTTTTTACACAATTTTATCGTATTTAACAATCCGAAATATTTTTATTTTTCACAAACTAAAAAAACATTTTTTAAATTTTTTTGACAATTAATTTTTGTGTGTTGAAATTAAAATTGATAAAACAAAGTTGTATATTATGGTATTGAAAATGAAAAAATTATTTTAAATAAACTTATTTTTTTGCAAAAAAAGAGATTTAAAGTCCGAAAAATATATTTATTAAATGTTTTCTGATCAGATGTGAGCAAAATAAATTAAAAAAATCTGCGAATGTAGAAATTTTAATGTTATTTATTTTTCCTAAAATTTTTATGTACGATTTTATGCAAGTATGTTTGTTTGGAAAGTGTGGTGAAAGTGGTTGGAGCTCCAATACTAATACAAAAATTCTACTAATACATACTTAGAGTTAGGTACCGAATGACAACTCCTTTACGTACCAACTGACAAGCCCCAATTTCTTTATATTCTTTGTAATTTAATATAAAAATTGTTAAATTATAAACAAGTACATACAAAATTCGAATTTTCTTTCAACATACCTGCAGAGAGAGAGTAAAATATTTTTAATTGACATTTTTATACATTACACTAAACTAATATTATTACATACATACATATACAATATATTTTATTAACTAAATACATATATATAAAAAATATAGAGAGATTTGTAAATTTATTATAAAATATTGCAAACTTTAAATTGAAATTAACTATTATCATCAAGATACATTTTTATGTTGCAAAATATATCGCTAATATTAAAAAAACAGTCGAAAATAATTGTTTTCAAAACAATTTTCCGAACTGTTTATAAATATTAAAGTTTTCAATTTGATGTTGATGTTGGTGCTTCGTATTCACCATTTGTGGCTAAGCCCACTTTTTCCATTAGTTCTGTTAATTTCTGTGCCTTACGATCTTCATTGTGGGCGATAACAGTGCATAAGTGTTCAGTTAATAACTCTTTTTTTTCGGCTGCATTATGTAAATCGATTTTGGCTTTTAGAAATTGAGACTCTATTTTCATGTATTGTTTTCTGTATAAAATTATAGAACGGAAAATATAAATAATTAGAATAAACGGTAAACACATTATCCTAAATCTCAATATAATTACACTCGAAAATAATCTAAATATGTTTTTAAATTTGACAATAACTTACTCAACAGTGGCAAAATGTATGCAGGCATTATCGATTTGTTTTCTTAAGAGCGCAACATCAACGGCAAGATCGTTGTCTAATTTGGCTAATTCGGCTTTAATTTCTTCAATTTTACGAGCTTCAGCGGCAGTTTTTTGAGAACTTAAAGAAAAAAAGTTATTTGAAATAATTTCAATTAAGAAACAATTATAAATATTGAAAAGTAATTAAGTACGTGAGTGAGTGAGTGAGTGAATATAGAAACCAAAGTAAGATTTTGGTTTCTATATTCCGTTTTTTAGTATGTAATGCTTCGTGGGTTCGATTCCCACCAGGGATACTGGTAAAGAAGCGCAAAGCTGATAATTATAAGCTTTAAAATAACTTTCTAAAAGGAGAATTGGGGTAATTTTAGGCCAATCCTCATAAAACTTGGTAGGAATTTTTCTTTCCATCGTGATTTCAACTGAGGAATATGTTTGTATGTATATGCTTTAATAACCGTCATCATTTCCCGAAAATATTATATATGAACTTAAAAATGTTAATTCATTAGATATGATAACTGAATTTAAGCCCCTAATTATTGTGTATACACATAGATATCAGTAATTCGCGATAAAAGCGTCAAAACTGATTTTTATTTTTTAACTGAGAACTACATAATTAACGCCTATTGTTCTCATACTTGATCGGTCACGTCCGACTATAATTTCTAAGTTCTTATCAACTTACTGTTGTTCGATAGCTTTGTACAACATTTCCTTTTTCTGGCGATTTTGTTCCTCGATCATTTTACGATGAGATTCAAAATCTTTCAGTGAAATACCCTTAAAAGGTGACTGAACATTTAGCGAACTAGGTGCAGCAAAAGCTGCCGCTTTTCCATTTCTATCGGCTGGTGAAGTTGAAGGTAATATCGATGAATCGTCCAAAGTTGAGGATGATATTTGTGTATCCATTTCATTGCCTAGCTTTAAAATGGAAGAATCTTCACTCAATGACTGTGTAGATGTGTGTGTATTCATAAGATTTGTTGTACTTTTAACAGCTTCATCGTGACCTTGTAAACGTTGCTGCTGCTCACCCGCAAGATAAGCTTTATTGGCTGCTGTATGTTGCTGCTGTTGTTGTTGGGGTTGATAGAATAAAGCTTCTTCCAAAGATTTTGACATACTGCGATCGAGATTGATATCTTCTAGGGAATCATTTGATTGTATAGTTTTTAGTTTTTCTGCCATTTTATTATTGTTATTGACCAAATTCATATTTGTGGATGCTACTTGCGTTTGTTGTGGCTGTTTTATTTGAGACATTTTCTGCTGGCGTAAATATTCGCTTTTGTCAGGCATACGTCTGATGCCACCGTGTCCACCACGAAATGTAGCTGGTTTCACTACCATAAACAAATACAAAAAAACAGAAGAGATTTAAAATACACCAACCATCCAGTTCTCTGAATACTTTAATACAATATTTTGTATATTCTTATTGTTGTCAACTTTATCTCATTTTTAGTTAATATAACATTTTGTTAAAAACTTGTTGACTGCTACTCACTCGTTTCCGCGGCTGTAAGTTTTTTATGTTTATTGCCGGACACACGATTTATTTCATCTTGACTAAAACCATTAAATTTATCCGACATATTCTCACTTTATTTTTATTATAAACACTTTTATTTTTTAATATAACTTTATTTTTTAATTAATTAAAAAGAAGAAAACAAAAATAATTTAATTAAAAATGCAAACAAAACAGAAAATCACTACTACAAGAGAGTTGGCATAAATTAAAAAGAAACTTTGTTGAGAGTTTGGAGAGAGAATTCTGGTTGTAAATGTCAAACTGACGACATCATCAATAGTGTTGCCAACTTTTTCCCAGCAGTAAGATCAGTCGAAAAGAAACAGAGTTGTTATGAATGAAACAAACCGTTATAAATTTATTTATTTAAGTTTGATAATTTGTAGCTCTTTTCTGATTTCATCTATATCTTGTTCCCAGCGTTCCTCCCAGTAAACAGACATTAAGGGTTTCGCATTTTTACCATTTTTAATTGCCCAAGGCAAATATTCGTTTAAATACTGTTTACGTTGTCTAAAAAAATAAAGTTAGTTAGACAGATAGATAAATAGATAGATAGATAGATAGATAGATAGATAGATAGATAGATAAAAAGAGAAAGCTTGGCTTACTTTGGTCTTAAGCGCATGGCTCCAAAAATCGCGCCACCATAACACATTGGCAAACCGTTATTTAAAGCTTCAAACCATTTAACAGCCACTTCGCCCAACATATTTGTGGGCATATCGAGTATGGTATGAACCAAATCATGACACTCACGATATCTAGTCATAATGTAAGCCAATTCGGGATCATCCATAAAACGCACTTCCATGCGAGAATCTGGAGTAACTTGCTAATAAAATAAGAAACAAAATGTAATCAAGCAGCAAACACTTAAAAATTAAATTCTTACATTATCATCTAAAAATTTAACATAAGCACGTCCGAAAGTGTTCTCAGGTAATTGACGTAATCTTTCGATATCGACAGTACGTGTGTTAATACGTGGTTTAGTACGTAATATGCGCTGACCTTCCTCACACGAATTCATTGTTTGTAAAATATTTTGTAAAGCTTGCTCACCGGTTGTCTCACCCAGACAAGCAATCATATCGTGTCTATTTAAAAGGAGGAGAAAATCTTACTTACATGCATATGAAAAATAACATGATCTTACCTTCTTGGATCTACTAGGGCAGCAATTGATGAACCAGCTGCTAAAAGTACTTTTTGAAATGGTGTCATTTCAATGCGATTTTCCATAAACTCTTTGGTAAATTCATCCCATTGTTGGCGTGTTAATTCATTTGCATTTTCATCAGTGCTATGTTGTTTTTTATCGTCAGCTATGTGAGTTGTAGCAACAGTTGCAAAATGTTTTGTTTGCCGCTGGCGTACTGCTAAGAGGAATGTTCTTCTACAGATGTTTTGCAGCATTATGATTGGCTAGTCACTTTAATTATCCCGAAAATAAAAAAACAACTGAAAACTATTTTATATTTGTTAAAAAAAAATTGAGAAAAAAGTTTTCGATTTATGAGAAATCTTGAGATTGTAATAAATCGCGATTATTAACCAAACAATATTCTATCCCACTATCCTATCTATTCCATCTATCTCCTATTGTATCTTCCTCTTATTGATTATCTTATCTATCTATCTATCTATCTATCTATCTATCTATCTATCTATCTATCTATCTATCTATCTATCTATCTATCTATCTATCTATCTATCTATCTATCTATCTATCTATCTATCTATCTATCTATCTATCTATCTATCTATCTATCTATCTATCTATCTATCTATCTATCTATCTATCTATCTATCTATCTATCTATCTATCTATCTATCTATCTATCTATCTATCTATATCTATCTATCTATCTATCTATATCTATCTATCTATCTATCTATCTATCTATCTATCTATCTATCTATCTATCTATCTATATCTATCTATCTATCTATCTATCTATCTATCTATCTATCTATCTATCTATCTATCTATCTATCTATCTATCTATCTATCTATCTATCTATCTATCTATCTATCTATCTATCTATCTATCTATCTATCTATCTATCTATCTATCTATCTATCTATCTATCTATCTATCTATCTATCTATCTATCTATCTATCTATCTATCTATCTATCTATCTATCTATCTATCTATCTATCTATCCTATCTATCTATCTATCTATCTATCTATCTATATCTATCTATCTATCTATCTATCTATCTATCTATCTATCTATCTATCTATCTATCTATCTATCTATCTATCTATCTATCTATCTATCTATCTATCTATCTATCTATCTATCTATCTATCTATCTATCTATCTATCTTCTCTATCTATTATCTATCTATCTATCTATCTATCTATCTATCTATCTATCTATCTATCTATCTATCTATCTATCTATCTATCTATCTATCTATCTATCTATATCTATCTATCTATCTATCTATCTATCTATCTATCTATCTATCTATCTATCTATCTATCTATCTATCTATCTATCTATCTATCTATCTATCTATCTATCTATCTATCTATCTATCTATCTATCTATCTATCTATCTATCTATCTATCTATCTATCTATCTATCTATCTATCTATCTATCTATTCTATCTATCTATCTATCCTATCTATCTATCTATCTATCTATCTATCTATCTATCTATCTATCTATCTATCTATCTATCTATCTATCTATCTCTATCTATCTATCTATCTATCTATCTATCTATCTATCTATCTATCTATCTATCTATCTATCTATCTATCTATCTATCTATTATCTATCTATCTATCTATCTATCTATCTATCTATCTATCTATCTATCTATCTATCTATCTATCTATCTCTATCTATCTATCTATCTATCTATCTATCTATCTATCTATCTATCTATCTATCTATCTATCTATCTATCTATCTATCTATCTATCTATCTATCTATCTATCTATCTATCTATCTCTATCTATCTATCTATCTATCTATCTATCTATCTATCTATCTATCTATCTATCTATCTATCTATCTATCTATCTATCTATATCTATCTATCTATCTATCTATCTATCTATCTATCTATCTATCTATCTATCTACTCACTCGTTTCCGCGGCTGTAAGTTTTTTATGTTTATTGCCGGACACACGATTTATTTCATCTTGACTAAAACCATTAAATTTATCCGACATATTCTCACTTTATTTTTATTATAAACACTTTTATTTTTTAATATAACTTTATTTTTTAATTAATTAAAAAGAAGAAAACAAAAAATAATTTAATTAAAAATGCAAACAAAACAGAAAATCACTACTACAAGAGAGTTGGCATAAATTAAAAAGAAACTTTGTTGAGAGTTTGGAGAGTGAATTCTAGTTGTAAATGTCAAACTGACATCATCAATAGTGTTGCCAACTTTTTCCCAGCAGTAAGATCAGTCGAAAAGAAACAGAGTTGTTATGAATGAAACAAACCGTTATAATTTTATTTATTTAAGTTTGATAATTTGTAGCTCTTTTCTGATTTCATCTATATCTTGTTCCCAGCGTTCCTCCCAGTAAACAGACATTAAGGGTTTCGCATTTTTACCATTTTTAATTGCCCAAGGCAAATATTCGTTTAAATACTGTTTGCGTTGTCTAAAAAAATAAAGTTAGTTAGACAGATAGATAGATAGATAGATAGATAGATAGATAGATAGATAGATAGATAGATAGATAAATAGATAGATAGATAGATAGATAGATAGATAGATAGATAGATAGATAGATAGATAGATAAAAAGAGAAAGCTTGGCTTACTTTGGTCTTAAGCGCATGGCTCCAAAAATCGCGCCACCATAACACATTGGCAAACCGTTATTTAAAGCTTCAAACCATTTAACAGCCACTTCGCCCAACATATTTGTGGGCATATCGAGTATGGTATGAACCAAATCATGACACTCACGATATCTAGTCATAATGTAAGCCAATTCGGGATCATCCATAAAACGCACTTCCATGCGAGAATCTGGAGTAACTTGCTAATAAAATAAGAAACAAAATGTAATCAAGCAGCAAACACTTAAAAATTAAATTCTTACATTATCATCTAAAAATTGAACATAAGCACGTCCGAAAGTGTTCTCAGGTAATTGACGTAATCTTTCGATATCGACAGTACGTGTGTTAATACGTGGTTTAGTACGTAATATGCGCTGACCTTCCTCACACGAATTCATTGTTTGTAAAATATTTTGTAAAGCTTGCTCACCGGTTGTCTCACCCAGACAAGCAATCATATCGTGTCTATTTAAAAGGAGGAGAAAATCTTACTTACATGCATATGAAAAATAACATGATCTTACCTTCTTGGATCTACTAGGGCAGCAATTGATGAACCAGCTGCTAAAAGTACTTTTTGAAATGGTGTCATTTCAATGCGATTTTCCATAAACTCTTTGGTAAATTCATCCCATTGTTGGCGTGTTAATTCATTTGCATTTTCATCAGTGCTATGTTGTTTTTTATCGTCAGCTATGTGAGTTGTAGCAACAGTTGCAAAATGTTTTGTTTGCCGCTGGCGTACTGCTAAGAGGAATGTTCTTCTACAGATGTTTTGCAGCATTATGATTGGCTAGTCACTTTAATTATCCCGAAAATAAAAAAACAACTGAAAACTATTTTATATTTGTTAAAAAAAATTGAGAAAAAAGTTTTCGATTTATGAGAAATCTTGAGATTGTAATAAATCGCGATTATTAACCAAACAATATTCTATCCACTATCCTATCTATTCCATCTATCCTACCCTATTGTATCTTTCCTCTCATATATCTATCTATCTATCTATCTATCTATCTATCTATCTATCTATCTATCTATCTATCTATCTATCTATCTATCTATCTATCTAATCTATCTATCTATCTATCTATCTATCTATCTATCGATCTATCTATCTATCTATCTATCTATCTATCTATCTATCTATCAGCTATCTATCTATCTATCTATCTAGCTCATCTATCTATCTATCTATCTATCTATCTATCTATCTATCTATCTATCTATCTATCTATCTATCTATCTATCTATCTATCTATCTATCTATCTATCTATCTATCTATCTATCTATCTATCTATCTATCTATCTATCTATCTATCTATCTATCTATCTATCTATCTATCTATCTATCTATCTATCTATCTATCGATCTATCTCTATCTATCTATCTATCTATCTATCTATCTATCTATCTATCTATCTATCTATCTATCTATCTATCTATCTATCTATCTATCTATCTATCTATCTATCTATCTACTATCTAT